TTTGACACAGTAAAATTTGAATCAAGTGAAATAATAACTGCAGAAGAAAACTAACAATAATAGAAACTGTACTCTGTTTTGGATTCTGTAAAAATGATCAGTAACGCATATACAGAAAATAATCCTGTTTGGAATAATTTGATTAAAGTAAACATTGAAAAAATGGAAACTGTTTAACTGAACTTTACAGAATACTAGTGAAGAAATTTAATTGGCTGAATAGAACTTGTTACAGAAATATTTTCTTTGCAAAAATTCATTAAACTTTAAGGAAAACTGGTCAAGGAATTAAGTTGGTTAGATAGTGCTTGCTACAAAAATACTTTCTTGCCAAAATTCCTCGGTATTAGTATGATTTTGACTTAAAAGTTTCTTTTTATAAATAGTAAAGATATTTTGCAATTCAAAAACTAAAGTGAATTGGGAGTTTGTAGTCAAAATAACCTGTACCCCACCCAGATATTATAAAGTAAACTTAAGATTACATGGAGAATGATGTCATTTGTTTTTAAAATACCATATGTATTTGTACTTGTAGATATAAGTAAGTAGATAGGAAAGGGTCTGGAAAGGTGACAAATTAAGTGTTGACTTCTGGTGAGCAGTCAACCAAAAAATACAGAACTGAAACAAAGGACTTTCTCTGTTTTCTTGGATTTGTTTGAAGTTTTAACAGTACTCTAAGGAAATTGCGCCCACCTCCTAGTATGGTATACATCAGCTTCAAGTGCCAGTGAAGAAATAGTTAAAGGAGTAGTATGACTTTCTCCCTACTACTTCCTCCTTGAAGACTGAGCTAATTGCACCTTTATCTTTCTCAGTTTGAAATTGTTCCTGAAGATGACCCCCAGAATGCCATTATCAGCTCTTCTGCAGATGCCTGTCATGCAGAACTGCTCAAGACCATAAGTGCTACTATGTAAGTTGACCAATAGCTTGAAGACAGGCTAAAAAGATCACTTCTTGCACAGTGAGACCTTTTCTCTTGCTTTTAATGAGTGGAGATCCTTTATTTTATAGATGACTATCCTGCATCCTTCAAATGTCTTAGCAACTAGATTCTCCAGAGTATCTAAGTCAAGAAATCTTACTATGTTTGTTCACACCGCGTTCCATTCCTAAACCCATTCTTATCTCCCTCTAGCTTCTCAAAGTAAAATTCTCCCTCTCATATTTAGGGGGAAACTCAGGCCCAACCTGCTTCCATCTGGAGCTGACTTTTTTGGGTTTTCTCATCCAACCATCCACAACCTGATCCAGAGTTGTCCAGGAGCTCGAAAATGCATCAAGTAAGTAAGGTCAGATCCCTTGAGAGAAGCTCCATGATCTGCAGGCCAGGGACCTAAATTGTTTTGCTTATTCATACATTAAGCTGCTTCTGTATGCAAGGTATGCTTACTCCTTGACCAGTGTGCCTCAGTACTGGTCCTCTTAGCCCTCTGGACAGGTGAGCAGGAGCCAGTATCCCACTGTACCATAATTATCATCCTTTTCCGTGTGTTCCATGACAGCAAAAGGGCTGGGAAGTTCTATAGAATATTGTATCACAGACTAAGATAGTCCTATCTGTCTACTTTTGGGTTTTTTATTAGTTAATATGTTTTTTAGATATATATGGGAGAGATCTACGGAAAATAAATGCATAATCCCTTTGGAGGTAAAAATGGGTTATTATGGCTAACAGACAGCTCTCAATAATGAGTCCCTTTAATCCTGCAGTTACCAGTGGGTGAAATTTGATGTGTGCAAACCTGGAGATGGGCAGCTACCCCAAGGACTGCCAGAGAATGATGCAACTATAAGCTTTGAAGCCTTTCAAAGACAGACCTTTGATGAAGATCATAATGATCCCATTCTACAAGGTATCTTTTAATTTTACCTTTCTGGTTTGAAAATTGACCATTTTAGGCTCTCCTCCCCTTAGGTCATAGCTGAGTACCCTAAATATCTGAGCAGTAAGTGGTATAAGCTTTCAGTGCTCCAACCTTGGAGAGTACTGAGTTGGGAGGATCTGTCACCCTATGTAGCTCTCCAGCTGTCCTCACAGCCACAAGGGGCATCTGTGATCATAGTAAGGCAGGGCCCACCAAGAAACTAGGGTTTCTCATTTTCTACCTAAGTAAGACCTAAGCAGAACTCTAGGGGAAAGTTTACTGTATAGGACTAAAATTTCAAATGAGATAAAAGGGATCAGGTCATGGCCTTGGTCCTGCCTATGTTCCATGGATTCCCTCCCACAAGTGGGTAGAGCCATCAGGGATCCGGCATTGGGGTCACACAGGGAGAGTTCTGGGCTGTAAATAAGAAAAGAGAATTAAAATTCTCACTGTTTACCTAATATACTATATAACCCTGGGCAAGTCACTTAATCTATTTCAGCCACAGTTTTCTTCATTGTAAAAGTAAGTATCTGTCCTGTCTTAGCAAACAAAAGCAAAATTGGGTTGACAGAGGCAAGGATGTTAAAGAGTTCAAAGAACATATATGTGTCTGATCAGTCTCCTGAGATTCCCAGGCAACACTGGAACTCAAGGAATTCTTTCCCCCAGGATCCTTGGACCTCCCGGAGCTTCAGCCTACAGTCTTTGTGTCTTCTTACCAACCCATGTTCCTGACACACGAACCTTTGGTAGATACTCACCTACAGCACTTGAAGTCTCCGTCACCGTGTAGCCCAACTCAGTCTTCAGACTGAACAAGAAGGGATCAGATCCACATCATTTTCATCGTGATGAATTTTTTAACTTAAATTAAAACTTAGAATATATGGAAGAAGGCAGCAATTCAGGAGTGAAGAAGATATTAACACCTTTTGTCTTGGAGGTTCCTGTGGTGACAATTTTCCCTGAGAAAAACTTCAGCTGCTTTATTTTTAGTAATAAATTTCTCTTGACAATCCTGCTTATTTTCATCTTGTTGTAATCAGAACATAATGTTTTGTACTTAGTTCTGCCTGAGGTAAACTTAAGTCCTTTATAAGCCAGAGTGAGAAATGGCTGCTGCTCATGAAGGATGGATGTACTAAGATTCTAACAACCTTCTACCCTTGGTTCTGATTCTAATTCAAGGAATATTAAGTCCTAGCTCCTGCAACCCAAGCTGCTGCTTTATTTTCATGTCAGTATCATCAAAATCAAATCCTGTTTATTCCTAAGCTTGAGTCCAGTCCAAAGCACGCTGTTCATCTTCTTTGCATTTCACACATCCTTCAAGGAAATCAACAAGTCCGCTTTTACCCTTTCTGTATTTGTGGTTCCTTATTGGAGAATGTGCTTTCAGCTAAATAGATTGAAACCACGTGATAACACAGATTTAGATAAGATTGGGGATTGGTTCCCATCCTCCATAACAGGCTCACCCCATCATTTCATTAACCATGTAATAACTCCACATTCAGTGCAGCTAAATTTTTTGGAGCCTGCTTATGGCATTAAGGTGGAATTTTACTGCATCACCTAACCTGACCACTCCACAGCACCTGGTTGGATGGGCAGCAAGGACATGGTACCAGGTACCAGGACTGGCTGGAATGGGAAGGAACAAATGGACCCCAGAGTAGAAGAAAGGGGAAAGAGTGGTGAGAACTGGATTGTTACTGTGCTACAGTTCATAACTGCCAACTGGGGACAACACCAATAGGATTAACATTTTACAGGAATAAATCTGAGCAGCTAAGGGAGGGCATCAGACAATAGCATTTAGAGCACGCCAAAGTGGCCAATACAAAGTATCAGAAACTAAACGGTATTAATTTTATGATTCTTAATTACAGTCTTTTTATAAGTTGGTATAACTTTACATTGCAAAAAAATAATCTATTAAAATTGGATAATAGCAAATCAGGGGTGGAAAGGGGATTACTCAAAGTTGTTAATTTTTTTTTTTTTAAAGATTTTATTTTTTACTTTTTCTCCCCAAAGCCCCCCAGTACATAGTTGTATATTCTTTGTTGTGGGTCGTTCTAGTTGTGGCATATGGGACGCTGCCTCAGCGTGGCTTGATGAGCAGCGCCATGTCCGCACCCAGGATTCGAACCAACGAAACACTGGGCCGCCTGCAGCGGAGCGCGCGAACCCAACCACTCGGCCACGGGGCCAGCCCCCTCAAAGTTGTTAATTTTTTAATGTTTTTCGTTAGTCTTTTTTCTCTGCGTAAGTTGCCTGAACATATTTGCACTTATACAGAAATGATATATGCTGCTTTTCTCATATAGCAAATATCTTTCCATTCTGTTACAGCCTGAGTAAAATACATATTAAAAGAGAGTCTCATTTTAAGAAAGACATTTAACATTTTTTTAGTAAGTTACTGTGCTCTTTAATAAGAGTATTCACTTTGTAGCTTTCCTAGAACAGTGTTTTTCAGACTGCAGATCTCAACCCATTAGTTATTCTTAAACTTAGGGAGTCAAGACCTGCATCTTTTAAAATTAAATAAAGAACATACTGGAATGCATTGCATGTCAAAAGGTTGAAACTTTGGTTTCAACTATAGTGTGTTTATGTATTTATATAAATACTGGGGATACATGGAACAATAAAAATGCTTTTACTATGGATCATCATTTTAAAAAACTTGAAAAACACTGCCGTCATATACCTAAAATATCTTTTCATCTACTGGATTGTAAAAGGTTTTTTTAAATTTGACATCCAACGTCAATGAGAATGAGGGGAAAAAATGGGACTATACCTTGGTGGGAATGTAAACTGTTGAACACTTTGGGAGGGTTAAGCTGTAGGTAATCAAAATTTTAAACATATTTATCGTTAAACATGTCATTCGACATTAATTACCCTAAGGAAATAAGAGTGGTATGATGTTTGCAGGTAACAATTATCATGGTATTAGTTTAATAGAGGAAAAATTAGAAAAAACCTGTATGTCTACTAATGTGAAACTGGTTAAATAAAGCCTGGGGCTCCCACAAACTGAAACACTAAATCTATATTCAATTTACATAGTAAAATTATTTTGCTAGAATAAGTCAGAAACACAAATTACAAGATAATATACCATGTAATATGTAAAATACAACCCAAACAAATCAAGTGACCATTGACCAAAATATTGTGTTTCTCTCCAAATTATGAATTTTGGGGTGAGTTTTACTTAGGCTTTTTCTTAGCATCTAAATGTTCTACAATGATATAACTTTCATTTTTCAAACCATAAAAAGTTATTTTAATTTGAGAAATAAACTGAATTATCACAGAATGCTTTAAATTATTCAACCATTAAAAATAAATTCACATGCCTCCATTAATATATCCACTACCTAAGCCTAATTTTTTACACTGTGTGCACTAGGTTGTTGCGGGTGAAAGGAACCTGAGCTGAGCTATCTCCAGCTGCTTCCAAACTAGAAGAACCCCTGAGTGTACGTGTATTGGGGGTGGGGAGGGGTGGCTGGATAGATTTACTTTTTCTCAGGAGTCTGTTACTACATTCATGGTTCCCATTAGGCCAGATGTATATGGCTGTTAGGAGTTAATGGTACTAGGAAGTCCTCAGGGGAACCAAAGTTCCTTGCAGACTACATAGTTGTTTTGGGTTTTTACTAAAATAAAATCCTGACACTGACAAAGCTATTCCTGATGTTCAGAGCTACACCAGGATGACTTGGGGGACAGGTGTGGGGAGAGATGCTTACTGCTTTAGTTCTCATTTTTCACATTAAGGGAATCGAAGCTACTCATAGGTAACAGTCTTACTCCTTTCTCATGCTTCAAAGGACAATTTACAAGCCCGTTCCTAACCCAGTTTTGACTGGATATAAATGTATACATGCCACTAATGATTATACTTTTATTTCCAACTTTTAGTAGATAACCACAATTATCAAGTGCCATTAGCTGTTTTTAATCAACCAATCAACAGCATTATGATTCCTCAGAGTACACACATAAGCCCTCTTTCATATTTGCCCCACCTGGATTATTTTTCTAAACGCTTATCATGTAGCTTTACTTTCAGCCTGACTTTTTTCTTCCATCTGGATCATCCTTTTTATAGTTAAACCTCTTACCTTTAAAGAGCCTGAGATTCATATTTAACTCTAACGACCTGTTTGCCTCTCAGTGACCTCCACTCCTATTTTTCAAAGCTTGTGATTCCCCCACTCCTGCTCCGGGCAGCCTGAGGGCCATCCTGGGCTCCCACCACCTCACCCTTTCTCTTTGTTCCTTAAAGCAATCCCTCAGCACCTCCCCGAAATGCCTGCACAGGGTCCTGGTTTGTTGGTTTTCAACATTCACATTTTCATTATTTAGATTGAAGGAACAGAATTGTTTGGGGCTTAGAACACAAATAGGGCTATCTTCAGTTATCTGATAGATGGTTGGGTAGTGGAAGAAAGATTTCAGTTCCACATAAGGAAAAACTTGGGAAGTTTAGAATGGAAACTTTATACAGAAATTCAATAACCACTTGTCAAATTTTGTAAAGTACATATAAATACTACCTGGCCTACATGGCCTTGAAATCTCTGCCAATCCTGAGTTTCCACAACTCTGAATGTAAGGGGACAAAAGTGTTAGACACTGCACTCCCAATAATGAAGGAAGTGAATGACAATGAGGTTCAATTTGTAGTTTGGAATTAGTCCAATACAGACACCTAGACCAACCGGGGGAGAAAGTAATCATTTCATTTGCCTATGAGCCCTGGATCATCTCAGAATACAGAAAACAGCCATGTGCTAGCTGGGGCTGTCCAATGAGACCTTGTATTAATTTCCTTTAAAAGCAATGGTTGTCATCATTTAAACTCCTAAATGCCAAAATCTAAAGGATCCACACTTCCATCTAAGATATGATCATATTGCAGCTAAATTATTTCATGTCCTTGCTGTGATATCCAGGAGTCTGGTTTGTAATGAAAGCAATGAAGGGAGGAGCTGGCAGGGTACTGGTGGGGTGGTATAGGGGACACTGTTTATATTCACAGGGCCATGTGGCCCAGGCATAGCGAACAGCAACCACAGTATCATGACAAGAACTGATATTCAGGTCCAGGGTCTGGGTGGAGAAAGTGTTCATAGGAGCTGGAAGCCACTTGCATTGCTGGTCCCTGCAACATGAGATCTAATAAGAGAGCATAAAACAGGAACAGTTAGGTGTGTTAGTAGGTTATTCCAAGAGACTGGGAACTGCTCTTTCAGCCAGACTAGAACCGGGAAGAGGAGCCACCCATTTCCTACAGCAATCAAAGGTCAGCACAGCCACAGGTTGATAAATGTTCATGTGATAAAATAAATAACAAATCAATAAATAAAACATTAAATTACTGAGGAAGACAAGGAAGCATAACCACACAAAGCATAGAGAGAAGGCCTCCCTGAACATTCCTGCTATGACCACTCCCACCAAGCAGCAAAGCAGGCAGGGACTGTGTGAGGAAGCAATCTAGGAGCTGCCACTACTCTTTGGCACTCCCAAAGGAGCTGAGGAATGAAGAAGGAGCACAGAGGAACTTTAGGTAATAAGCCTTTCTCAATTCAGAAAGCAATTCAGGGAGGGGAACATAAATTATCCAGGACTCAAGGGTTAAATTCTGTCTTGACCCCAACTATGATTCCCAGTCCCGATGATGGGAAGACTGCCAGCAACTGACTGAAGAGGAAAACTCAGAATACAGAGACTTCTTGGGAGCTAGAATTCATCTAAAACCCAGTGTCTAAAGAAGCCAAGTAGAGTAAGCACTGACCAAGCACCTGAGGCAAGTGGATATGATAGTCAGGATACCAGAGGAGGAGTAGCCCTAGATGAACTCCTGTGTAACTAAAGTTTGCCTTTCGTAATCTTTCACCTCCTCCAATGACCTCTTTTCGTACAAACCCCCCCACACACACTCATGGCCTTATGATTCCCAAAGACACTCATTTAAATGTTCCATCTAGGAATGCCTCTGTCCCCTCACCCCCAACTACAGAGACTCCTATAACCTCTAATCAATAGCCCAGTTCCACTGTAGCATGATCCTTGCTAGGTTTTAGAACAAAGTAGTTTCATTACATTAATTCACACTAAGTGACAAATCACCAAGATTAAGCCACTGAAAGGAAACATTAAACTCAAAAGAATATCAGAATTTAGGATAGTGTGACAAAAGAGACATCCAAGGATGAGGGAAATGTTCTACAACAAGGATCCTTTCAATAGGTAACCTACAAATAAAGCTGCAGGCCGTTCCCAGAGCCAAGATGGTGGTTCTGGAAGGGAAAATCTAAAAGGAGTATCATTTCAATATGGACTCATTTTGACTGTCCTGTCTATCAAAATTGCCTCTAAGTGAATGAATGAATAGGTGCTTATTGCCCCTCTAAGATAAACTCAGACTCCACCATCCAAGACCTCCCCCACAGTAAAGTGATAATTAAAAAGATGGGCCTCAGTGTGGAGAAAATCTGACTCCCAACACAGGATGAAGCGCTATTGTTCCTGCTCTTCTTCTCACCTCAAATATCTTGTCCTGCCTCTGCACGTGGATTTGCTGAGAATACGTGAGGTTGAGCAGCCCCTTGTCAGTCAAGAGCTCTATCTTCTCAGGCAGTGGTCCTTGAAAGATCAAATTCTTCTCACCATAAGCCACAGCACGGGCCCCCAAATGCAGCCTATATGCCACAGTCTGTTTATCTCGAGGGTGGATGCTACAGGACAAAGAACAAGTAGAGAACTTTGGGTTTGAGCTCAATAATAACCATATTTTTTTAAAAAAGGAAATATTATATAAAGCACGCTTTAAGAAGATGAAAATAAAGTTGACTGACCCTAATAGCCAATGATCGGGGCTAGTTAAAGAGAAATAGTGAATGGCAACCATAGATGGAGCTCTGGGCCTTCTATGGGTTGGAAACCGTGAGAAAAAGATGACTTGGATGGAAGGAACATACGGAGGGAGGGAGGGAGGGAGAAGGTAAGGCATTCTACCTACCTAGGAGAGCTAACTCATAAGACTATTCCAACCTCTAAAAGCCCTGTGTTTCATTCGAATCAGCTGTTCATTATTTGGTCCCCTCCAGCTGTTATTTGTCTCTTCAATAAATATTCATTCATTCAAAAATAAAGAAATATTTGTTTATTCAATAGCCTACTATAATCCAGACACTATGTGTTGGGCTCCATTTCACATTTGAAATCCCCTCATATCCTATAGCTAATATGTGGTAGTCGTCAGGGCTGTTCACAAATATTCCATTACTCCTCCCCTGAGTCCATGGGAGAATTCCATTTCCTGCTCTTGCTGAAGGTGGGCATGGCCATATGACTTGCTTTGGCTAATGCAACGTGAGCAGAAGTGTCTCACGTTGCTTCCAGGTGGAAGCCTTTAACTGCCAGTGTGAGACTTTAAGGTCACCACAGAAGCACAGACCATGGAGCCTCTGTCACTCTGGATCTGTGAATGGCTATGATGAGCAGAGCCTCTCTGTTGACCTTCTTTGGACATGTAGTATGAACAAGAAATAAATTTTTGTTGCATGAAGGCACTGAAATGTTAAGAGGTGTTTTTTGTTACTGCAGCACATCCCAGCATGAATGCTTGATAGATAATGCTTCTAAGGTCCAATCCTTAGACCACCTACTCTCCGTTCCCTCACAAGTGAACATCAGAGTGAAGCCTACAAAGAACAAATATTGTTCAAGCAAAGTACAAGAAGCAACCATACCTGCCAAAAGATGAGTTCCGATCACCGAGATCCATAGCTACAGCCATGAAAGTGTTGGGCATCCTTAGGTTGGGAACATAGCCAAAGTCTGCTGTTTGATGCCAACGGATCTCAGGAAATTCATCATCTGAGGTTGCAGCAGACCAATAAGAAGATAACTGCAAAGTAAAGAGATTGTTATATCAGAATTTTATTGTGTCAGAATCCTACACTGGAGTCCTTTTCACAAGCAGACCCTGCTTCTGCTTCATTCATTTGTTTAAATGTTCATTCAACAAGTATTCACTAAGCTTCTTACTGTTGTGGCTGAATCCCTCTCATCCCACATGGCACAAAGTAACCTTGCGATGCCTAACATCAAGAGGTAGAGTCTACTTCTTCTCCCATTGAATCTGGGCTAAGCCTGGATGTTCTCTGACCAATGGAATGCAGCAGAAGTGATGCTGTGCAGCTTCTGAGTCTTTGCCTCAAAAGCCCTTGCCTTATGATTTCTTTCTCTTGGAAGCCTGAGATGGCCACACACACAAAAAAAACCCAGCTACCCTGCTGGAGAAATTATGTGGAGAGAGGGGCCTTAGAAATTGGAAGATCATGAGGAGACAGAGGTGCCAATGTCCAATTTCAAATTGCAGCCACATGAGCAAGCCCAGCTGATATCACACTGAGCAGAGATAAGCCATCCCAGTTAAGCCCTGCCTGGCCAACCCATGGAATCATAAGCAAATAAAATGGCTGCTGTATTAAGCCACTGAGTTTGATACAAAGCCATAGGTAGCTGATACATCTGTATACAACACAGGGCCAGGTACTGTAAGGAAGCAGAGAGGAATCTGCCCTTGAGCTCGTGGTAAATTGCATCAAAGACCCCAATTCTTCACACCTTCCTATATCCCCACCTTCCAGCCATATAGCCTTGCTTGTTTCTCCCACTAAGAGAAAGAGTATATTTCCCCACCACTTGATTCTGAGTTTCGCTATGTGGTTTGCTTTGGTCAACAGACTGAAACAGAAGTCACAGTCAATTCCTAGCCTAGGTCTCTAGACACCTTGTGTGATTTCACTTGCTCTTTTGCATTTCTGCCATCACCACGAGAACGACATGCCTGGGCTAGCCCACTACTCGCTGAAGAAAAATGAGAGCTGTGGAACAGAGCTGCCTCATCTAATCTACTCCAGCCAAGCCTGGACCAGAACACAGCCCCCCAGCTGACCCACAGAGATTTGGAAGAGCCCAGTGGAGCTCAGCCAAGGTCAACCAACCCAGCTACCCAGACATGTGAGCTATAAAAATAAATATTATTTTAAGTCATGGAGTTTTGAGGTGGTTTGTTACACAGCAGTAGCTAACTGGTACAAGTACTTCACAATTTGTTGAGGGGACAGACTGGCACATAAGAAATGTTAATAAATACAGTATAAAATAGTATGGATTTCATGCTTTACTGGTGGCACAGACAGCAAATGCACTAAGTTTAGAAGATACAAAGTTTATTATAATAAGAAAACATGGCCTTAGAATATGTAAAAAAATTTGGATGGGCACAGAAAATATGAGAAGTCACTACAAATAGGATGCTCATAGTTCACATGTTAGAACCTCGTAAGATGCAAAGATGGGAAGCAGAAAGGCAGCTTGGAGAGACCAATCTAGCTGGACTAGAGGATTTACATAGGAAAGACAAAGGTGGAAAAACAGTGAGGCAAGTGTTTGATAGAGTTTATACTTTATTCTATAAACAATAGGGAACCACTGTGAATGTACTAAATGCCACTGAATTGACTAATAATAAAATGGCTAATTTTACATTATGTGAATTTCACCTCAATTTAAAAATTAGAGAGCCACTGAAATTACTGACATGACTAAAGGACTATTTCAAAAGATTAATCTAGTGATCATGTAAATAGTTCTGTGAAGAAAAAAGACTGAAAGCAGAGAGATTGATTAGTTAAGAAGCTACTATAATATTCTAGACACAAAAGAGAAAGGTCTAACCTAGAAGTTTTGTAGTGGGAATGGGATAGTTAGAAATAAGATAATCTAAAAAACCAACTGACAGAACCAGGCAAGCCACTGGATATGGGACACAAGAGAAAGGATAACATCCAACACTCAAAATCTATAACATCTGAATTATGTGCTTGGTTTTGCAGATGTAAGTAAGATCCTTTATCAGTTGACTTCAAGGTAACCAAAAGGAAGAGTATGATACTGAGCCTGATCCAGTCAGGTAAGTCCTTTAAAAGAGGGCGTAGAAGTCAGAGGCCTCTCACCCGCTGGCCTTCAAGAAGTTAGTGCCATGAGTTCTACAGCTTCGAAGAAATAAATTCTGCCAACAGCCACATGACCTTGGAGAAAACCCAAAGCCTCAGATGAGACCCCAGCTCTGTCCAACACCTTCACCACAGCCCTGAGCCGAGGACTGAGCTAAGCCATGCATGCCCAGACTCCTCACCCATAGAAACTGTGAGGTAAAAAATGTGTGTGGTATTGTTTGAAGCTGCTAAATATGCAGTAACTTGTTATGTAGCAATAGAAAACTAATATACTGGGGAAAGAATTTTCCAGGCAGAAGGAAAAGAAAACGGCAGGCCCTAGGGCAGGAATATGCCTAGTGCGCTTAAAGAAAGTAAGGCAGACAGTGTGGCTGAAATGGGGTAAGCAAGGCAAAGAAAATTAGGAGATGAGGTCAGAGGGGTAATGGAGGCAGGGGGACCATGTATGGCCTTGTTGACCTCAGTCATATGGAGGAAACACTGGAGCCTTCTGATATGACATAGTAATATTAAAAACACTTAATATTACTACAATGCACGTGGTCCCACTAGTTCTTCCTTCCTTACTTCTTCGATGTCTATATCACCCTCTTCTCTGACTTAGCTAGCACCTATTCTTAGCCCTAGTTCCAGCCAATGAGAGGCATCAACCTATTACCTCTCTTTTACAAACTATGATCTTAAAGTAAGTCAAGTCGCAAACTGGGAAACAGCCTGGGCAAGCAACCACATTGTCTTTGAACTCCATTTCAGAATTTCTGCATCAGAGGAGCTGCATTCTCAATAGACTGTTCCTTCTAGTCTTATTACTCTCATAGCCCAGGAAAGACCTGAGATCATCCCTCCAAATGTGGCCAAGTGAAGCTTTGGATAGAAGAAGTTTTCTGCTTCTTGAGTTGTTCCAGAAAGACTAGAAAATCATCAGGAAAACACTGGAGAAGTCGCAATAGTAGCAGAAAGGATAAGGAACAAAGGATATGAGATGGAACTAAGAGGACACTTCCAATTCTCTTATTAAAATCTCTTAAGTAAATCGGTTTTAATGTATGAAATGATAAAAGGTGCTGACACTTCACAATGGAATCTCAAGAAAACTACAAAACAGGACTAGAAAGATCCAGTGATCTTCTTCCCACACTACACCCAGAAGAATGAAAGTGGAACCATGTTCATCAGCCAGTGGCATAATAAGGATCGTAGCAACAAAGTTACCAGAAAGAGTCTAGAGTAAGTTTCAGCTTCAAGCACAACAGGAAGGAATGCTAATAATAGCCACTCAAGCCAAGGAAGTTTTCTCAAAATGGCAGTTTGCTGAAAATTCCTGTAGCAATTCTCCACTTATTTCATTGATTGCACTACTACATACTGGCCACATGGGGACACCAGCATACTCCACAACCAAAAGAAATTCCTGTGTTTTTCCTAATCTGAGATATTAGTAGGGCACTGTGCGGTCTCCCACAGTGTTTGGTAGAAATACTGTTGCTAATGAAGGCATATATTAGGCAAAAAATGTAAAAGTGGCCAAATTTAGAGGATTTTACAAACACACAGTTTGCAGTCTGTTCCACTGGTCCTCCTAACCCCTTTAAAAAAGATACGCCTAGGACTTCAGTCCCTAGCCACATGCTCTTCTTTCCCCCTCATGCTGCAGGACACCTCTCTACTAATCACTCTCGGGTACATGTCTCTAGTCCTGGTCTCTCCACTGAGCTCAGTCCCACATCTCTAACTATGCTCTAGTTACCGCAACCATCATTTCAGACCCAGCACTTCTATAAAGCCAATTCACCTTTCCTTACAGACCAACTGTCCCTCCAGATTTTCTGACTTCTCTCATTAATAATAATAAACATTATTATCTGGCATGTGCCACACTTTACAGGATTAACTCATTTAATACTTAAAATAATAAAGAGGTTTGATATCTTGTTCAAAATCATATACCTAAAGAAGTGTCAGAGCTGGGATTTGAATCCAGGCAGACTAGCTCCAGGATCCATGCCTGATCCATTACATTCTCATAGCTGATACTTCCCTTTGAAGATGTACATTTATACTCCCAGTTTTCCACAAGTAACCAGCATATTTTCATTGACAAAGTTAGAGCCCAAAGGCTAAAGAACTAATAAACTGAAAGACATAAACATAAGTGCAAGGACCAGGCCTCTGACTCATGCTACATTGCCAGCCCTTCACACAGTTCATGGCATCTAATAAGCATTCAACACACACTTTAGGTTTGAAGTGACTGAAGTCACATTCAAATCACCATGTACACAGGCTAAGAGATAAAAAAAATGTACCTCAAAAGTCCAAATGTAGCTTCCACCAAGAGTAGTTCAGAACTGGTGCCAAGAGTTGCTATTTTGAAAATAATGAGCAAAAAAATCTTTTTTCAAAGTCAAAACAAATGTAAGAAAGAAGGAAGAAAATGATTGTAAAGTAATTATAAGTGGAAAGAAGGTCTATAAAAGTCTTCATCCAAAAAAAGGTATAGTGAAATAGGACAAGGTAGAGGAGATAGGGAGGATGGTGAGAAGAAGGTTATGCGTGGGACGTGCAGAGGCAGCTGTCTGGAAGTATGTATGTCCAATTCAAACATTAAAGCCCATTCCATTATTATGTTGACTTGAGCCTTGTTTTTATAATACCTTACTTGTTTGATTTGCTATGTTTGAGAAAAGTCAGAACTACCACTCTGCTAAAAACTCTAGGTCTTGGAGGGGTCATATGAACAGGTAAGGCAAGGCAATTATGAATTTGGTTAAATACGTTTATTCCTTTTAGGCAAGGCTGAAAGCAGAAACTGACTAGTTACTGCTAATTAAAAGTATGGTTTCTCTTGATCTATTTTTTCATTTGTATGTTAGGCCATGTTTAGTAAGTGTCGACCAATTAGGTACTGGGGATATAAATGTGATCCAGGGAAATACAGCCATGTGTGCAACCTCCATGCAGGTAAAAAGGGGAAGCAGAGGGTGCTAAGAATCACCCATCTGGAGAGAGAGGGTGTCTAACCCAGACTTTGGATAGTCACAGAAGGCTTTCTGACTGATATGCAGACTGAGACCTAAAGGAAGATGAAAAGTTAGCTGGGAAAGTATGAGACAGAAAGACCACCCCAGACAAAGAGCATGTGAGATGGGCTAGGAGTGCGAAAGCAAGGTTCATTCTAAGGAGTGCCAGGGATAACACCAAGTTGGGAGGGTGTGGGGAAGTGGACATTCTCACACACAGGTGCTAAGAGAATCATTTTATACAAATTTATAAATTTCTACAGAGAAATTTGTGGACATCTTCAATGCCTTAAAAAGTGTTCAATTTAATCCAGCAATTTCATTTATCTTATGGAAATAACTAAGCACATATGTAATGATTTAGCTACAAAAAAAATAAACATGCCATTGCTTAAAAAAGCAAAATGTTTAAAGCTACCTAAGTGCCCATCTAATGAGGACTAGTTAAATAAATTACAATACAGCCACATTTCTGAACACTCTACAATCATTATAAATTGTGCTAAAGATTAATATTTATTGTCATGAAAATTGTTCAGAATATGAAATTATGAGAAAAAGCAAGATAAGATACAGTATTGTGGTATGGATCCTATTTTAAAAATACATGAGCAGAAAAGGTCTGGTTATGTCTGGATTGTGGAATTATAAATGTTTTTAGCTTCTTTTTTTGCTTATCTTTTTAATATTTCTTTAATGAACATGTAATGCTTTTTTAATAAGAAGAAATATTAGTTACTAATTAACTTTTTCTAAAGATTTAATTGTCCCACCAATGAACTGAGATGAATTGTCTTACATTCAGGTCTTGACCAGCAGGCTACGAGGACATAAAAAGGAACATGGATTCCAGGAAAGAGATCTAGACAGCACATCCGCACCTCAGTGCCCAAAAACCCTCTTCCTCTCAACACATACCTGAACAAATCCAAATGGGAAGAAACGCTCTGTCTGCCCCTGGGAGCCACGGTGGAAGGTTTGGCGCCAGTCTTCAATGAGTGCAGGGAATGTGCAGTTGTACAGGTCTCTGTTAATATTTATATTGGACTCCCCTAAAAACAGTCCAAATTGTGAGAGGAGTTTGGGGTAGATGCAGAAACAGCCACACGTTACTCCCCAACTTCTATCTGCCCTTAGGAAGTGGGCCTTCCTGCAGGATCTTTGGACTGGACTTGTGAGTTGCTCTGGCCAAAGGGGCATCAGTAAACATGAGGCAAGCAGAGGCTTGAAAAGCACTTCAGCTTTGCAGTTTGCTCTCCTTTGATACACTTGAACCCAGAAACTGCTATGTAAATGATAAATAAGTCTGAGCTGGCTTGCTAAAGGATGAGAGGCCACATGAGAACCATGGTACTCCAGCACATGGACAGCTCCCAGTCAACAGACATGAGGGAGAGGCCATCGTGAGTCATCCAGCCACCAAACAACCTGCCAGGTGGCCACAGACACATAAGAGATCCCAGCAGAAATTAGCCAAAGCAGCCCAGACAGAAAAACTACCTGCCGACCCCCAGAACAGAGCTAAATAAAATTATTACTGTTTTAAGTCACTAAGTTCTGGGGTGGTTTGTTATACAGGAAAAGCTAACTGATACAATGGAGAAATAGTAAATGGAACACTCACCCTGATACCATATCACCCCTTTCAGAGTCATATTATGTAGCGGATGGATCATGGCATTCCAGAGAACAGAGTGCTGACTGGGACCGGCTACAAAATCAGATGCAGTGAACCTGAAATCAGTAAGATGCATAGTGTCAGGAGAGAGCTAGTGATCGATCACATGATGATCCCTAAGCTGGGAGTGTATCCACCTTTCATTTGGGTCAAACTTCTGAGATAAGCAATAGAGAATTAAATTGAACCTCTCTGTTTCACATGAAAACAAGTGAACAGTCTCCAAATTTCACCTCCAGGTTCTTCCCAGGATAAGTGTATCAGTCAGCTTTCTGTGAGTTCAAAGTGGGCCATCCCAGTTTGCAGATAAGGTCATCAAAACCAAAGAGGAAGAGTGTTTCATTATGAGTCTCTCATAGAGGCAATAAATGTATTTAACTACTGCTCAATGGATAGACACTTAGATTTTTTTAAGCTTTTTGCTTTTATATAAGCAATGCCAAGATTATCTTCCTTACAGCTAAATCATTTCATACAGGCTTAATTATTTCCTTAAGATAAATTCCCAGAAAGGAAATTGCTGGGTCAAAAGGCACATTTTTGTAATGCTCTAAACATGTTCCTAAATTTCTCTGTGAAATACTTATATATGAATTTATACTCGTGGCAGTCATGTAAGAGAATGCCCACTTCCCTACACCCTTGGTATTGTCCCTTCCATGTCCCCAGAGATCTGGGAGGCCCAGCTTTAGATCCCTCCTATTCTTCCACAGGCCATTCTTTCTGTTCCCAAGTTGAATGTCTTCACTTCCCCACAGACAAGCCTTTACCACACTATTCAAGAGCCCAAGTCCATCCTCTTCCCAGAGGCCTTCCCAGAATTGATGAGACAATGTCTGTGAAAGCAGGTCACAGACTGTTAATCTCTATGTTAATACTAATACCAGGATTTTAGTAACTAGCCCTTTCTCTCCCACCCCAAATATTCTTCCTGGTCTAGCTTTTCCTAAGTGTGCTTTCATAATCAGTAGACTAAGATATTTCTTTGATTACAGGTACATTTTTTCTTCCTATTAGACTATTTATTCTTATATAGCACAGTAGTTAAGAACACAGACATTGAAGCAGCCTTTGTCACTCACAAGTCGTGTCCATGAGCAAGTTACTAAACCTCTCCCAGAATTGGTATCTTTATCCATAGAATATTCATAGGTTCTACACTTCAAGAGGTTGTTGTATTAAGTGAATTAATATATATACAGTTCTGACAGCAATATGTGGCATACAGAAAGCTTTCAGTAAGTATTAGCTATTACTTATTGAGGAAAGGAATCATAATTGCTTCTTGACATATTCTCTGAGGATTGCAATAGTGACTTCTGTGCATGGAATAAGTTACATACATTCAGTACATATTTGGACATTCAACACACACTTGACTCCCCAGAGGAGACCGTGATCCTTCTCTCTTCCATAATTTCCTGGGAAGCTTTCTCCCAGACTGAGGATGCTTTCTTACCCTTACCTAGGGACCCCACAGGCTTTCAGTGACCTTCCAGATGACCAGGCTTCAATGGGTGTCCCACCCCACGAGGAGGCAAGCAGCCCAATGGGATACTGCAGAGTGTCATACAGGTAACGCCCAAAGAGCCAGCACACTGCTGACATGTACTGGAAACTTCCATGGCCCAAGTTTTCTGTTCACAGAAATAGTTAAAGAAAGAGTCAGGGAAAAAGTATATGGATACAAACTGTAGCTACTAGATGAGTCTAGGTGAGAAGAATGGGTATGGGTCATTCCTTGTATTCTTTTCTAAGACTTTCAAAAAGTAGGATAAGATTGAGAGGCAATTGTCTCATTAGCAGAGAGCCAAAGCTCTCTGGCCAGGCAAGACGGCTTCCCCCCACCGCATGCTACCCCATCACTTACAGGTTCCTGAGAACCTAGGAATATTAATATTCCTCTTTAACAGGTGAGGGGCGGAAAGGCCATTGGGCCTCTATACTACTATCATCTACACCTCTCCTCTCACCTCATCATTCATCCCCACTTAGCTCTGTGGAGGGGAATAAGCAAGCAGGGAGCATGTTGAAAAGAAATGTATATTTTTTCTGGGTAGTTTTATACCCAATTTTATAGCTATGGTAATGAAAACATGGACAAGTAAGTCACAGGAAGTTTGGCCAAAAAGGAAAGCAACAGAAACCAAAACCAGTGTTTACATGTTCAGTATAGTCTAGCTCATGTGTCCATACAGCCCAGTAACCAACACAGACCAGAACGGGCAATTTCCATGTCAGAAGAAAGCTGATGAACAAGGGAACATGCACACACATAGAACTGACGGGATCAATTCAACCCAGTATTTATTAAAGAGCTACTATGTATAAGTCACTCGCTCGGCACTATAAAAGATTCAAACTCAATATAGGCCCAGTGCCCAAAAAGCTGATAGTGTAATAATGAGAATTCAACATAATTACAATTGACTGAGCAACTACTAGGCGCCAGGCACTTCTAGATGGTTGAGATACAGTAATTAAAGAAATATGGAGAGACACGGAACCTCTCCGCATAGGTCTTATATTGTACAGAATACAACAAATATTCAGCTGAACAAAATAAAAGAAAAAAACATGGTTAAGAGCCTTAAGAGGTACAAACAAGTGTTAAGGGGTTTTAACAGCAAAAAGGAAGAATATCAAATGAAAGGCAGATCATAAAAAGCCTAACAAAGCCTGACCTCCTCCCCTGTGCTCCATAACACTCTGTGCATAGTGTTTCCCTTTCCCCATCAAACTATTAGGTCCTTGAAGGCAGGAACTTCATCTTATTTACTTCAGTATCCCCAGTGTCTAGTACCTACCAGAGAGTCAGTAAACGTCTGTTGACTGGTGAGGGTGCCTGTGGGTAGCCAGTATCAAGGTGGATTCGTTGACATGTAGACAGGGGGAAAGGTACATAAGAGGGAAGGGGAGAAAGGTAGGGAAGCGTTGAAGGGTAGACAGGAGTTTAACAAGCAGAGCTGGCATTCTAGGCAGATGAAACAATACATAAAAAGGCACAAAGAATAGGAAAATTTTGAAAGTATTTGACTGGAGCACAGATTATAAAAGGAGAATATTAGGAGATAAGACAGGAGGGGAGGTTAGAGTCACATCTTAGAGTCAAGAAAACAGAAAGCCACTTGAAAATGCTTGAGAGTGAGAATGTGTGGTAAGCAAAAGTACCTCCAAAGACATCCACACCCCATGCCCAGAACCTGTGAATATGACCTTCTGTGGCTAAAGGGCCTTTATAGATGTGATTGGGGTTAAGGACCTTGAGACAGGGAGAATGTCCTGATTATCCAGATGGATCCAATCCAATTACATGAGTCCTTAAACTCAGAGAACCTTCCCAGCTGCAGTCAAAGAGACATGACAACAGTCGAAGAGGCAGGCGAGATCTGAAATATGACAGGGACTTGGCCTCCTATGCTCTTCCCCAGACATCTGCATTGCCTCACCTCCTTCAGGTTATTACTGAAATGTCACCTTTTTCAGTTGGGAGTACCACAGCCACTCTCAACGGGGAACCACAACCCCATCCCAGCCCCACTGGTCTGTACTGCCCCCTTCCCTGGTATATTTCATTGATTTATTTTTGTCTCATCAGCATGCATCACCATCTAACCTATCCCTTAATATTCAAAGATTTATTCAGTCTCTGAGTTCAGAGAGTGAAAGGGAGCTGACAGCAAGGTATAATAAATTATCCAAATATAATTGATTCTTGCGTTTTGGATAACATGTAGGAGGAGGTCATAGACCAAAAGATTCATCCAAAAATTTACCCGAATCTATTCAATTCCTAAGTTGTTACAGGGAGAGTTCAGATAGTGTGATACTAAATAGTATCAAACACTTCATATATAATTTACTAGTTTTATTATTCATTTCCGTATCCCACGCACTAGGATATAAACTCCATAAGATTAGACGGTCTTGCCTGTTGTATTCACTGCTACACTCCCTGCACAGAGAACAGTACCTAACACACAGTCGGCACTCAAATTTGCTGAATGAATTAATACTTGAAAATATAGGAGCAATTGAGGTTACCAAGACAAAGCACATACAGACAAGAGAAAAAGGACTAGGAAGAGCAGAAGGGACTACTTTTGGAGGAAGAGATTGAAGAAAGCGAAGAAACAGGGAGGAAGAAGACAGAGGAAGAGACCCAGGGAAAGGAAGCACCATGCAAGCTAAGAGGAATACGTGGTTTCTCAAAGCGGTGGTCAGCAGTGTCAAATGCTACAGAAGTGTCCAGAGTGTATAATTAGAAGAATAGTAACACCCTTGAGGGGAACAAGTTGTTGAGGTAGAAGCAGAAGCCAGATTACAAAGGGTCAGAGTGAAGACATGGAAAGACAATGAAAAGGATGAAAACCAAAGATGTTCTAGAAAAGTTTAACAAAGCAAAGGGGAGAGGTGAGGAGGGTGTTTGTTATATTTAGTTTTGCTTTGCTTTGTTAGAATAAAAGAAAAGCTCTGAGAGTCTGTCTTGCTCACAACTATATCCTTGGGGCATAGCACAGAGTGGGCATGAAATAAAGGTTTCTTGCCAAATGGACAGGGGGTAAAAGAACAGAGCCTGAGGGATAAAAGAAGACCCTGAAGGAGGTACGAGACAAAATCAAAGGTGGCCCTGAAAAGACACCAGTCAGTTGTGTTCAGACACAGAACCAAAGGAAGATAGCGAAGAGGAGAATAGAGCATTGAGGTGTTGAAGAGACATGCTGGCAGAGCTCATGCTGAATGGCCTCAGGGTGTTCAGTGAAGGTGAAGGAAGAGTCATCTGCTCATAGCAAAGGGCAAGATTCATTGTTAGACTCTTGGGAAGAAACATATGAATTGGCCACCAACAGGAATGGGGTGGAGAGTCAATAAATGAATGAAAGGATGGTTGAATAATAATAAATAGATCAGAACAAAATTCAGGATTACAGATTCCATAGGGCACTAGCCCAGTCTAAGAGATGGTGCATGCTCTAGCAATCACTTACCTGCGGTAGGCTTAGACCATTGCAAGTCAACCTCAGGAAGGTCCTCCAGCTCCTGCTCTGCCTCAACAAGAGACACAGAGAGAATGCGGACAGACTGATAGGCAGCAGTGTTAGACAGCTCACTTGTAGCATTAAATATCTAGAAAAGAAATAGGAATGTCATTTCTTAGACCAACCTAGTGGGTGTCAACTATCCTACTCCCTCTTTGTAAACACTACCAACCCTCTGAGCTCTTTCTGAGCCTTCCATATACCAAGATCAACTGAATGACCAAAACCGATGATGGGCTGGTCTGAGTCACCTTGATCCACCTTGACCAACAGAGATCCTGATGAATCATGTCCCCAAAGAAGGCAGGAGTACAATGAAATCTGAGATCTCAAGGAGCAAGTCTGTATTAGAAGAGAGGAGCTATGGAGTAGTTTAGGCTAAAGAAGATCAACTATCAATTAGACCACTGTGATATCTTGAAACTAAAATATTTCTATTCAAAAAAAGTATCTGATAACATAAAGCCACAGTATTAGCTTCTTTCAAAAATGGAGCCAAAAAGGCCATGAGGAGGTAGGTTTGTGTAATCTTTACTACATAGGAGAAGTATATTCAAAGGAAACATACCTGAGAAATGATTGTTGAACTACTAAAACACCTTGAAGTCAGTCTCAAAAATGCTTCTACTCTCATGTCAGTCCCGGCAAATCACCAAAGGAAAGCATTGAAACATGGCAATTTGAAAAGTGGTGTTCAGGGTGACTGCTGAGGACAGTCCCAGGAAACCAGACAAAGAAAAGGGGCCATCCAAAGACACATCCCTTTTTCCAAAATCATTTCATGAAACCTCATCAGTTGCCAAGAGTACGACAGGAATGGCTTACAGTTTTGCTGGACAAAAATGTGTGTGCTACACTGAGTAGTTTCTTTGTTAGTCCTATGAAACATCATTCCTCTCTGAGCTTACACATAAGTGCTATTTCCTTCAATCTTGATTTTTTAGTTATGGTTTTCCTTTATTTTAAAAAGAATGTATCATAAACATATTTTGCTTTCTTATTTGTGTTTGTTTTTTCTTGTCTTCTCTCTATCTCCCTGGACTAGTCCAGTTTTCCCAAAACAAAGGGCTAACAGGAGCATCAGGAAACCCAGTTATCATGGGCCTCAGGGAAAAGAGCTCCAGCTGAGACAGGACGGCCACAGTGAGATGCACAGGAGGCTGGGATACTTTCCATTGGCCGCTAGCCACAGAGTGTGCAGCTGGTTTGCTTTCCCTCCCACTCACCACAGAGAATACAGCTGGCCCTCCAGCCCACAGTGTAAGAGAAATGATGGAGCAGCCAGAGTGCCCCCACAGAGCATTTCACTGAAATATGCAGCCCCTTGAATCGCCTTTTGACTTGCCACTGAGCCTGCTGTGGCCAGTAAGATAGCCAGATGCAAATGACATGGCTCTTTTGGTCACAATGGGAGCCACAGCCTGAAATGCTCCCTGGGTAGCAGAAGCTCTAGCCAGTCAGGGTTACTGGTCTTCCCACTATCGGGACAAAGATTACACATGGCCTCAGGAAAACTCCATGGGAAATCCAGACCTGTTAGTTCAGGATCTTGCCTGGCAAGTTTAATGTAAAATAAACATTAAAGAGTAAGAACAGGCTAATGCACTCACAGTATACTCTGGCAGGGAAATTATTTTTCAGCAGCAAGTACCTGTAAAAAGTCACCTCCCTTGAAATTCAGTTCTGCACTAAGCGCTAAGGATCGTATGTTGCTTCCATGGAAACAGTGGATAAAACTGCTTTCATTCTTTCCACCCACACCAGCTTCCGTGCTGACTTGGGACTCAAGTGCCTCGTCGCAATGAGATGCCAGCTTGGGAGGCAGTATGAGGGAACATGCTACTTGTCTTTCAGACCCACTTCTAACACTGCAGAGTATTCAAGGCCAACAGAGTTGGGCTGGTTGGCATTCTCCTATATTGTTACCAGCACAAAGAACTGGAGCCAAAACATTGGCTGGAGAACTTCCATGTTCAAACTCACATTTGTGTATTATTTCAAGCCAAAACTTGAAAGCCACAGAAAGCGTTAACAAAAATGGTGGTGGGGGAAAATTCTTGCTATACCTGATGACAATTAATTCTGAAATTGGTAGCCTGTCCCAATATCACCAAGCCTTTTTTGATGGAAGCATTTCCTCAGGGATATTGGCAGCAAATTTAGGAATAAAGAGATTTCAGGAAGATTTTCATTTAAATGACACTTGGTTTCCCTGCTGATGAAAGGGGAAGCCTTACTCCATCTGCTGAGATCAAATTTCATCTCATCAAACACCTCAGTGTAATTATTTTGCTACCGAGTATTTAAATGAGGATGTAAATGAATACCAAAGTATTTGAAGTCATTAAGACTGCTGCGGCTGAGAGAGACCACCGCTGCCTCTCCAGGGACCGGCGGTTCACCATCAAAGCAGCTGCTCGCCGGTGTTCATTTTGTAACCTTTATACCACATTCTTGAATTAATGAAGAAACATCAAGAATCTATTTCCTCAGAGAATCCTGGCTTGGGGTCTGCATGGGGGAGCAAGGCATAGGTGTAAGCGTATGTATGTGTGTGTGTGCGTGCATGCACATGCATGGCACGCACACATGCTAAAGGACACAGGGAAACTTTACTTAAAAGAATTTGGACCCTAGAAGTCATTTTACCTTCTACTACATGCAATACAGCAGTTCTAAAGTTGAGGGTAGCAACTATAAATAAGCCAGCCAACATAACTCCTGTGATTCTTTTTTTTTTTTTTTGAGGAAGATTAGCCATGAGGTAACATCTGCCAACCCTCCTCTTTTTTCCAAGGAAGACTGGCCCTGAGCTAACATCCGTGCCCATCCTCCTCCCCTTTACATGTGGGACGCCTGCCACAGCATAACTTGCCATGCGGTGCCATGTCCGCACCTGGGATCCAAACTGGCGAACCCTAGGCCACCCAAGCAGATAGTGTGCACTTAACCGCTGCGCCAGCAGGCTGGCCCCATCCTGTGATTCTTTTATTGTAATGTGATACCAGCCCTTCTCTTCTGGATTTTAATTTTTCTACGTGTAAAGCAGGAATGGGGGGATTGCTAAAACAGTGAAAAATGGGTGTACTGTCTAACATTGGCCATCTTCTTCTGAGCCTAACTAGAAATATCCAATAAGACCAAGCCCTGGGGCCAGCCCCAGTGGTCTAGTGGTTAAGTTTGGCCCACTCTACTTCGGTGGCCTGGGTTCAGTTCCCAGGTGTGGACCTACACCACTCGTCTCTCAGTGGCCATGCTGTGGTGGTGGCTCACATACAAAAAAGAGGAAATCTGGTAGCGGATGTTAGCTCAGGGTGAATCTTCCTCAGGAAAAAGAAAAAAAGACCTACCCTGACTTAGGAGGCAACAGATGAACATTTAGACTTTTCTCCATTTATAAACATCTCACTCCATGTTATAAATAACACTTGATTTTAAAATTCCACTTTACCCTGACAACAAGATGGGCACGCAATCTGCCATTTCATTTAAATGTGAAGAGTGGTAGGTTATAGTGGAAATCTTACCTCCTCAGAAAAATCACATGGGGGGTAGGGAAGGAGAAAGAAAGAGACAAACACTGTGTTTGCCTGTGTGTGTGCGTGTGTGTGTGCACACATATGCCTGCACATGTGTGCTGGGAGTTGTGTAGAACATCCTTTTGATCATGAAATAAAGTTCTACAGAGTGTTAGGAGACTAGAAAGCTCGGCTTTTGATACTGTCAGCACCTAAAATGCTGTGTTGCAAAGCAAGTGCATGAATTAAAACAAAAAAACAAAAAATCAACAAATGGGATGTTTCAAATGGACTCTTTTTTCTATTTCTCTATCTCAGAGTTTGTAGCCTTAGCTTAAGAAGTAAGATGCTTAAATGCTTAAGAGTAAATTCTAGGCAGAAAGAATGTGTTCACTCTTAACAATCAAAATCTGATTTAGCTTGACAGAAGATGGGATGGAATCCCCTGACAGACTGCAACTGAGAACCTGACTGTATGGATACAAACAGATCTGGTCCACGCCTTTCTGTGCAAACACGGAACTGCAATCAAAACATTAAGGAAAGGACTTAACAGCAACCCCACTTCTATACAGAACCACGCTTCTATCAAGAGATAAAACTTCATTTTTGCCTCCCTTCACTTACGCTAAAAAAAAGCCCAGAAAAGCTCAGTTTAATAAACATTTAAATTTAAAAGGATTCTGTATATTTAAGTAGGACAGGAAGCAAGAAAAAACAAAATATTGGTTAGGAAGACATAAATAAGAGAATTTAAACTTTGAATTAGAAAACTAATGATGAAATGAAATGGATATGTCCAGGAGATATTTTTAGTAGCATTATTTAGTAAACAGTGAGAAAAAGAAGAAACTATAAGGGGTAGAAGCCACAGAAGCAAAACAAGAAATCATAAAGCATATTAAAGGGCTGTTTTATAAATCTTTTAAAAAAAGAAATAAACTGAGACCATGCTCTAGTTGGAGAGACTTTTAAATCTCAAATTTAAATATTTCTCGAAGATGAAGAAGTAGATAGATAAATAGTAGATAGATAGAGAGAAGTAGATAGAAAAATAACTTGAGAAGAAACTGAGTTTTAGAGAAAGAGCTAGAGAAGACAATCATCTTTCAAAGTTCTCAACCTATGAAAGGAAACAAATCAAAGTATACAGAACATATTAGTGCTAATCAATAATTCAAATTCAAGAATTTATTCCTAAAATTCTTATTTACATAATCTGCCTCTTTATTGTAAACTGAGCCTTTGATAAATATTTAAGAGGTGAAATCAATATCAATTTCTTGTTTTAGTAACTTTCTTTTAAAAACTATAGTTACTTCATGTTCATTATGGAAAAATCACATGATTCGGATAAGCAGAGAAAACCAATCCCAATTTCAAACGTGCCAAAGAACTTAACTCATTTTAATTTCTCTGGAGTTCTGATACTGAGTAAAAAATATCTATTAATATTTCAGCAATATTTTAAGCCTATATAGTTTAAAAATGTCTCTGAACTTGCTATTACACTGTCTTGCCTTGACCTTAATTTAAATGAAACGACAATGGTCACTCATACCTTTAAGTCAGATAGCTTCCACTAAACAAATAAAATGACAATTCTGAGGCCCAGAGCACTAACTCCTATCATGCTGTACCCAGAAATCCATGCTCTTTATTCTAGATTGTTTTTGTGTTTAATTAGAAAGTAGAGTTGATCCCAAAAATAAATGAATGCTAAAGACATATAGCTCCAAGGCGTTTGTTCTACCACTGCTGCCTTGCTAGAATACCAATCAAACTATCAAGAGACTGGCTTCCCTTGATAACCTTTTCAATGTCCTTTTTATCCAGCTTTACATAAAAGACTCACTCATAGTCTATCAAATGGGCCCTATGCTCTAACACGGGAGACAGGAACACCTCAAGGTGAGTTTCATCGCAGACCAACATGTCAGCAAGTCAGCATTTCCTTGTTCTGTCCCTCTTGATTCTCCATGTATGGCATGTGCCCCATCCCTACTTGGGAGCCTACATAGTGCTCTTCCTCCCGACACTCTAGCAGAGTAAGTAGAGCCCAGTGAAGCCTCTGTATAGTTATAACAAAGGAGAAAAAAATGCTAGGTCTCAAATTTAAGAATAATTAATCTTTGGGGCCAGCCCCATGGCCAACTGGTTAAGTTCACGCGCTCTGTTTTGGCGGCCTGGGGTTTCGCTGGTCCGGATCGTGGGCACAGACACAGCCCCACTTGTCAGGCCATGCTGAGGCGGCATCCCATATAGCACAACCAGAAGGACCTACAGCTAGAATATACAACTAGGTACTGGGGGTCTTTAAGGAGATGAAGAAGAAGAAGAAAAAGACTGGCAACAGATGTTAGCTCAGGTGCCAATCTTTAAAAAAAAAAGTCACTTCCTCCCCGACAGGTCCTACTCTCCCCACCTACCCTAAAAAAAATTTTTTTAATAAAAAAAAAGAATAATTAATCTTCAAAGGTCATGACTGAAATAGAGAAGAAAAGTGACACTAACAAAAGAAATTCCAGGCTATGAAAAAGTTGAGCCAAAAAATTAATCACTGGTCTATTATTATTTCTTCTTCCCATGAAAAGAAAAAAGAAATATATATATACACGTCAATTTGATATACATATTAATATATATCAATATAATATAAGACAGCTAACTGAAGTATCAAGATGTCTGAAGCTTACCTTGAAATGGTTCACACACACAGAAAAAAAAGATAAGCTAAATATGGCAAAATGTTAACGTGTCAATCTAGGTGATGAGTGTATAGGTGTTTATAAGTCTCTTACCTTTTGTGTGTGTTTGAAATTTTTTATGATAAAAAGTTGAAAAAATAATGACATCTTATATTTAGACAGCAGTTTTCAATTTATAAGGGCCTTTAGAGACAAACAAAATAATTTAATCTTCATAATGGCCCTGTAAATTAGTTGGGTCAGATATAATGACAGGTATAGTATAGTCATAAAAACTAAGCCTCAGACATTTAACAAAACTCAATACTTTTCCGGGATAAAAACTCTCAAGCAACTAGGAATAGAGGGAAAATTCCTCAACATGATGAAAGGTATTTACGGAAACCCCACAGGTAACATCAAATTCAGTGGTGAAAGACTGAAAGCTTTCCCCCTAAGACCAGGAGCAAGACAAGGATGTCTACTTTTCACTACTGCTATTCAACACTGTACTGAAAGTTCTAGCCAGAACTATTAGACAAGAAAAAAAATAATAAAAGGCATCCAAATTGGAAAGAAAGAGGTAAAACTATCTCGGTCTGCAGATGGTACGCTCCTATACATAGAAAATCCCAAAGAATCTACAAGAAAGCTACTAAAGCTAATTCAGCAATGTTCCAGGGGGCAAGATCAATATGAAAAATCATATGTTTCTATACATCAGCAATCAACAATCCTAAGAGAAAATTAAGAAAGAAATTCCATTTACAATAGCATCTAAAAGAATTAAATACTTAGGAATAAATCTAGTCAAGGAGATAAAAGACTTGTACATTGAAAACTATAAAACATTGCTGAAAAAGATTAAAGACCTAAATTAATGGAAAGACATCCCATGCTCATGAATAAGAAGACTTAAGATTGTTAAAATGTCAACACACCCAAAGCAATCTACAGATTTAATGTAATATCTATCAAAAGTTCAACACCTTTTTTTGCAGAAATGGAAAAGCAATTCTTCATATTCATATGGAATTGTAAGGGACCCTGAATAGTCAACACAATCTAGAAAATGAAGAATAAAGTTGGAAGACACACTTCCCAACTTTGAAACTTACTACAAAGCTACAATAATTAAAACAATACTGGCATAAGGAGAGACATATAGACCAATGGAATAGAACAGAAAGCCCAGAAATGAGCCCTCATAAATATGGTCAATGGATTTTTGACAAGAACATCAAGATCATTCAGTGGGGAAAAGACAGTCTTTTCAACAAATGGTGCTGGATAAACTGGATATCTACTTGGAACAGAATGAAGTTTAGACCCTCACCTCACAATGCATAAAGAATACACTATACACTTCAAAAAGAATCAAAGGCCTAAACTTAAGAGCTAAAACTATAAAATTCTTAGAAGAGAACATTGGGGAAAATCTTTATGACACTGATTTGGCAGCAATTTCATGACTATGAAACCAAAAGCACAGATAAAAGAAAAAATAGATAAACTGTACTTCATCAAAATTAAGAACTTTTGTGTATCAAAGTATACTATCAAGAAAGTGAAAAAACAGCCTAGAGAATAGGAGAAAATATTTGCAAATCATATATCTGACAAGCAATTAATATCTAGAATATATAAAGAATTCCTACAATTCAACAACAAACAATTCAATTCAAAAATGGGCAAAGAACTTGGACAGACATTTCCCCAAAGAAGATATACAAATGGCCAATAAGCACACAAAATAATACCTAACATCATTAGTCATTAGGGAAATGCAAATCAAGACCACAATGAGATACCACTTCACACCTACTAGGATGGCTTTAACAAAAAGAAAAAAATAAGTAACACACGTTAGTGAGTATGTAGAGAAACTGGAACCTTTGCACATTACTGGGAGAAATATAAATTGGTACAGCCACTGTGGAAAATGGTTTGGTGGTTACTCAAAAGTTAAAAATAGAATTCACAGATGACCCAGAAAGTCTACTCATAGGTATATACCCAAAAGAATTGAAAGCAAGGACTAGAACAGTTATCTGTACACCAATGTCCATAGAAGCATTATTCATAATAGCTAAAAGTTAGAAACAACCCAGGTGTCCACCAACAGATAAATGGATAAACAAAATGTGGTATATGCAATAGAATACAATTCAGCCATTAAAAGGAATACAATTTTGATATATGCTACAATAGAAAGCAGAACAGGGGTTACCAGAGGCTGGAAGAAGGGGAAAAGGGGGAGTTACTGTCTAATGCGTACAATTTATGTTGGGGATGATGAAAAACTTCTGAGTATAGTTAGTGGTGATGAGTACACAGGGCATTGCAAATATATTTAATGCCACTGAACTGCACACTTACCAATGGATAAAATGATAAATATTTTGTTATATTCATTTTAACCATAATTTTTTTAAAGCATGTTTTAATAACAAAGTCTCAGGAATACCAAGTGATTTGCTAGAAGTCATACTAGTTGGATGACTAACACTCAGTCTCAATTTTTTAATCTCCATGACAACAAAAGACACATAGTATATTAGCTGCTCAGCATTAAAACAAAAGTAAGAAAAAAAGTGAGAAAACAGTGCCTGGCACACTTAAGTACACTAGCCGTGATCGGGAAAGCAGGCTCTGGAGTCACATTAGCTCCACTATTAACTGCATAACCTTAGGTGGGTAATCTAACGTCATGGGCCAGTTTCCTCATCTGTGAGATGTGAGTAACAGTTCTTACCTCATAAAGCTGTTAAATCAAATTAATACATGCAAAGTACTTAGAAGAGATCTTGGCACATGGTAAAAAAGAAGATTTCTACCTCCTTCTCCTCTTTACCCGGCTTCTTCTTCCTGTTTGTTTTTTTTTTTTTTTTTGAGGAAGATTAGCCCTGAGATAACATCTGCTGCCAATCCTCCTCTTTTTGCCAAGGAAGACTGGCCCTGAGCTAACATCCATGCCCATCTTTCTCTACTTTATATGTGGGACGCCTACCACAGCACGGCTTGCCAAGCAGTGCCATGTCCACACCCAGGATCCGCACCGGTGAACCCCAGGCTGCCGAAGCAGAACGTGCACACTTAACCACTGCGCCACCAGGCTGGCCCCCTTTTTCCTCTTTATCATCATCATCATTACGTATTGGCTGACACTCTCCAAATTACCTGGGAAACCGTCATCTGCATGTTACTTTGCCCACTGCAAAGCCAGACATCTCCAAATAAGACATCATGAACTCTCAGGGTGAAGTTCATTGTCCCAAAAGTCTGCTGTGCCATCATTTTATAAGGTCCACCAGGCTTCATCGGATCCAGTACCACCATCCAGCTATTAGAGTGTGCTGAAATAACAACAAGGCTCCATGGAATTAATCAATCAATTAATTAAAATGAAATTAAAGCCCAATCCTGTCATGTATCATACTCACTTGTGGCTATTCCAAGCCTCTGTGATAAACTGAATTCAAAGCTATAAAGATTGGCCAAATCTCAGACAAGTGAATAGAAATAATAAAAGCAGCACCATTTCTATCCTTAATCTGTACCAATCCCTCCTTACTTTTAACTGAAGCATTTACAGGAATAATAAGTTACCAGTTATAATCCTAAAAGAGGACAGACAAAAATACATGGAGATTAAAATTCAGGAGAGTTTAATAAAAAACATAAAATAGAAATTCTTATTATACTCTCGAACAGTCACTGTTAACATAATCATAATCTAATAGATTTACATAGTGCCCCAAACTAACTTGTGATTATCTGATCAAATGTGAGCACAGGTTAGAGATAATCATCCACGATCTGAAACTTCGCCTCACTGATGGTATCATCCTTGTTATCAATCCCCCCACCTCCTCCCCATAGTGCTACCAAGATTAATACTACTAGTGGTTCTGGGTTCTATCAACAGTTAACCAGGTGAGTGGAAAGGGACACATAAAGAAGGAGTGGGAGGTATATAAATTAACCTCTACAAAGAAGACATTTAGGCTTGCCCAATTAATTATTTTCACAGAGTTATTCACCAGACTTAAGGTTTTCGAACTCAATTAGGGAGATGAAAAGTTATCCAAGACCCTATTTCAGAAATTCATAGCATATTCCTTAGGAACCACCTCCCTACCACCTTCCTACCTCTCACCCACTCACCCCACCACCGCTGCCAACATCACACTTGGAAACTTAAGAAAGATATCTTGAAAATGGCAAAATTATGCATAGGAAAACCAAACAACATGAACAAAGTTGAAGAAACAAGAGTGAGAAAAGAGACTAAACAGATAAACGATCACTTTAAAATAAATATTCTTGGTATAATGCTGAAGAATACGAACTGATTTATAATTTGTGCCCACCAGATCAATGTAAGTTCAAAGGGAAAGAGTGGTAAGAACTGGAAATGGAGCATCCTAAAGTTATTATACCAACCTGTAAAGAATAATTATAAAAATACTGTCCAAGTGCCTACTATGTGGCAGACACTGTGCTAAGTTCTTTCTACTCAGCAAGAGCTAAGCAAAAGCATGAAAAGTCTCAATGCACGATTGGAGATTAGTAAAAGCTCAAACCATAAAGGACTGCTCAGAGTCTTGGGGGAAATGTCCAAAACCCTCCAGGCATCAGTGAAAGGGTGCATGTTTGCTCCTCTCAAAAGCACAACTGACTAAGCTTGCTACTCCCATGCCTAAGAGGTCAATTAAGCCCAGGACCAAATGCTCACTAGTGTTTTTATACCACTAATAGCCAGACATCGACATATTAAATGTATAATTCACCTAAAGCAGAAAAACCACTGTTTTGGAAACAGTGGGCAGCTAGTACAGATTGTGTCGGACAGGTGTGATGTGCTCCGTATGGCTCACTTCTGAGCAGGCAGACACTCCAATCTGTCCCCACTACACTCTTGCCAAGGTCTTTCCAGGCTTCTTGCACTGACATATCTTACTGGAGCTCTGTCCTCCTGCCACCAACATTACTCATTATTAGTGATGAGGTCAACCTACAGAAAACCTAGGACAGAACCATTTTTTAACCTTCGACTACTGTACAATCTATTCCTGGTGACTGCTATTAATTAGATATTTACACTTAGTCTCAATCCAGGCAACAAGGCTGGTGAAGAAACCTACCTTCACCAGAGCTTCAAAAAATTTTGCTGCCCAGCAATAGAAAGACAACAAGGGAAGGGGGAGACATTTGGGCAAACCATGGCAAAACCATCCTACTGTAGCCAGACAATGAGCAACCTCTAGGGCCTAAAGCATCTGAAGATAACCAGGCATCAAACCTGAGCCTTATTTCGAAGAACTGGTCTCACAAGGAAATCTCTCAACTTCCACAAAGACCTTGGAGAACTTCCTTCTGTGATAGTCCTCAAGCTGTTTCAGTTTCTAGCTTTTTTCCTCTCCCACTTGATAAAAGAAGAATAAACTCCAACACAATAATGGTTACTAAGTGAAGTGAACTGCCAGGCAAGGCAGGGGAAACAAGATCCACTACAGAGAAGTCACTAATGGTCAAACTAACTCGGAAACAACTCATTTAAAAGAATGAGGATTTACTCCCTTGTAAATACATACAAAGTAGAGCAGCCCCTGTGAAGACTGTTTCTTAGACTAAAGGCAAGGACAGGATTATAAAGGCAATGGCCACCACATCTCACAAGTCCTTGGCCTGTCAGATTAGGATTAACTGGTTAAAGTGGAGCTCACCACAGGCCAGTGAAGACCATTATAGTTTTTAGAAACTGTGTTGACTCACCAAATAATAAAATTGAGTCACCAACCACAAAGAGTTGAAGTTCACCATCCAGCTGGCTTTCTACTGATGATGGGCTTTCCAAGCAACAGTTGCTCTGGTTCCTCCTTCTAGGCCCTAGTCACTTGCTATTTTGTAACCTCTCTTACCAATCCAGGCCCAGGTTTCTGTAAATTCTCATTTTTCTTGCATTCAAATCTCTGCTTCCTCACATTCCTTCTCCTCCCATCTAGGAAGATTCATTTCTCTCCTTCATTATACAGCTACTTAGAGTGCCTACTGTGTGCCAAGCACTCCATCAAGCAGACAGAAGCCCTGGGTTACACTGACAAGAAAGCCATGCAAACTGACTGGGGCTCTGTGTTTTCGTGTCTAATGCTTAGCATATCTGGTGGCCTATTTCTTACTGTCTCTCTTCTCTTCATATTCCAGCCAAGGGCATAAATAAAGAACTCTCACCATTTTCTCTCCACCTCCCTGACCAACCTCCATCTCAAAATGGGAAGAACAATCAAAGGGAAAAAATTAAGATAATTTGTCTAGAGACAGGATTGGTCGTAAAGAGCTTTCTTGCTTTTTTCCTATTGCTATTCACATCAGATGTTAACTATTTTTCAGGTTATTGTGCCAAATCTCAGATGCCAAGAAGAGAAAAAGGAAAATTATCCATGACCTTTCCCTTCCCAAGAGGAAAAACCTAAAACTAAAAGAAGCAGCCCTGTTCACTTCTTCCCCTGCAGAACCCTGGCACTTCACAGCTGCGAACTGGTTCAGTAATTTGTGGAAGTGACTTGGAGGTAAAGAAGTTCTTACTGCCTAAACTGCCCCTCCCCAATGTGCATTTATTCTGTATAAAGTTCATCTCTACCACCACCAAATATGAAGGTAAAACCAAGAAAACCTAAAATACTTTTCTATCAATAAAACTGTTTGTGCAAGTTTCTTAAACTATAGCATTCTGTGGCAGACATACGCCAAGGGGACCCCCAATAAGTCACACCCTTGTGTAATGCCCACCCCTCAAGTGCAGGCAGAATCTGTGATTTGCTTCCAACCAAGAGAAACTGACAAAGAGGATGAGACCTCATTCTTGTCATTGGGTTACATTATACAAAAAAGATGAAGGGGTTTTGCAGATGGAATTAAAGTCCCTAATCAGTTATCTTTAAGTTCATAAAAAGGGAGATTATCCTGGGTGGGCCTGACCTAACAAGGTAAGCCGTTTAAAAGAAGGTCTAGAGCTCAGAGATTTGAAGCAGCAGAGACGCTGCCATGAATTCTACAGGCACAAGGAAACGAATCTGCCAGCAACCGAAGGGACCTTGGAAGTAGATCATCCCTAGCTGAGCTGCCCTGGCCAATACCTCGACTGAGAGAGACCCCAGAGACATTTAGCAGAGACCTCAGCTAAATGACGGCCAGGCTTCAGACCTACACAAATTGTGAGATAGTAAAAGTGCGTTGTTTTAGGCACCTAAGTTTGTGGTAATTTATTATGTAGCATAGAAAACTAGTATGCATGCTAACACTGCAACCAGGAGCTTTTTATTTTTCTAAGAGCTTTAGGCTTTTTGTGTTTTTCTAAGTTAGAGAAAATATATCTATTTACCTCAATCATGATAAATTCAGGCAGACCCACACTCATTTTATCACCTATATATGTATCCACCATGTGAGAAGATATACCCTATTCTCCCCAATTTTATTCCTGGTGTCTGAAAGAATCATGACGACTCATTTGACAACATGGCTCGAACGGGCCCAGTCCCTGACCGTATTCCCAAGCATCCCTCAGGCTTTAATTTTCCCAATGCTTAAGCGTCAGTCTGCTGGACAAAACTTTTTTGTTGTTTAATTCCACTTTGCTGTGGGCACCTAAGGGATTCTAGGTAATAACTTAGATATTAATAGAGATAGACAGAGTGGCAAATTGAGGTAGTCTGGCTGAAAATCCCAGAGTCCTCATCAAAATTTAAACAGAAGTCAACCTTTCAACGTACCCTGTAGTGTCTCCCTTGAGGAACATTTTCTTTTCTGCCTTATGAAATTTCCTATATGTCTACCTCCTTCATTCCAAGTAACACTTTATCCATTGTACTTTACGGGCAGGACAGAACAAGATGCCCATTGAAGTAGGCTTGCAGCTTTATATAAACTGAAATACCTTTCTTCTCTACCAAGCAAATGTGAAGAGCCTACTAAATAGATCTACACCCCCCCACCACCAATAACAACAACCCCTTTTCCTGTGAAACTGCCATCAATAGTCCATGAATCACTTGGTTCCCTTAAGTTGCTGCTGGATATTTTAACTCCAAATGACGCATCACTTTGCAGTGAAGCAACTGAGGCACGACTTGACCCTAAACTACAAAATGTGAAAGGACAGCATGAGACAGTGAGCTCCTGGAGGACGGGCACTGTTTGTATTCTTCTTTGTATTCTCTAGGGTTCCTAGCTTGGTGTTTTATACATAGACAGCCCTCAATCGACATTTATAGAATTGAACTCTAAGTGAGCAAGTTCACTATCACTGTAAAGGAAAAGAGAGGCCCATTCTCTAATTCATACTTTTTATTCCTTCTTGTCACCACCTACCTCCCTGCCTCATCTCTGGCCACTCCAAATATTGGTCCTGAAATAGCCATGATAGGGAGCAAAACTAAAAGTAATGAATAAGATTATGTTTTCAAACTGAAATGCTATATATTAGGTGCTTTCTATTCTATCTCTACAGTACTATGTAGTCTCTGTTTTCTAAATTTTTATTGGTAATGTTAACTATTAGCACCAAGGAAATCCTATTTCTTATTTTTACACTATGCACTTCCTTGGATTTCTAAATTATCACCGTTACTGAGAGCACCACTACTTGTACTCTGTGCTGCTAATTTCTAAAATGGACAGGACACAAAAGGAAAGCACTGCTAGTCTCCTGAATTCTTCATCTTCCGTACATTCTACAAGTCACTAACAGCATTTAAATCTAAAAGAGAACAACTTCTCAATCAGCTTAAGCTTCCCTTTCGAGTCTCTTAGTTTCACCAAGTAACACTCTTACCTGAAAAAGTCTTAAAATCCAAGAACTAGAAACACTTACCTTGCATTTATGCCGGGTACATAGTATTTTAAAATGCCTGTTGAATGGAAATGAATTATGAAGAGCCTGCAGCAAGGTCTGGATCACTCTGGATTGGATATCAGTACCGTATATTGACAAGACTAATTAGGCCACCCTGGTTTTCAGGGGCCAATAAAATTTCCACAAGCTTCTCCGTCACATATGTATTCAAGTCACTGCTCAAACCACCAACTCCCACATTAACTCCACCACCCTTCAGAGCAGCCTCCTCACCTGCCTGCCTCTCACTTCAATATCCCACAGCTGCGTAGCTACCTCCAACTAAGATATAATCAGGTCTCCATTTGACCCAGCCCTGAGTATGCCTTCCTGCATCCCATAACTTCTAGCTTTGCTCCTCCACACACTCTCTTATACACCTTTATCTCTTCTAGACAGACCTCTCTGCTCATGAAGACTGCTAATTCTCACCTTCTTGAACATCATCACAGCCACTATCTTGGGTCAACTCTTCACTGTCTATTGCCTGAATATCAATAATAGCCTGCTAACAGGTCCTACCACCTCTAGTCTTATTGATCTCCAACCCATCTTCCACAGTGCTGCCAGAGTAATCTCTAGAAAATACAAATCTGATTGTGTTATTTTGCTGCTTAAAATCCATTGATCCAAAACAGAGTATACACTCCTTAGCAAAGACAAACAAGCCCCCCTACATCTCCAACCTTATCTCAGATCATCCACCACCAGTCACATACCCCAGTGTTCCAGAAAAACCAACCTGCTTGCCATTTCTCCAATGATCATGCTAACTCATGTCCCCTGCCTTTGCCAGGCTCTTCCCTCTACCGGGTTTGCCATACTCATCTTTCAATATAAAACTCAGACTAAGTTAATTATCCCTCCCAAGTACTCCCATAGCACCCCATACTTCCCCATTATGGCATTTACCACAGTTAACTGTAATTGCTTATTAATATTCTGTCTCCTCCTCTAACCTATAAGCTTCAATAGGGGAGAGACCACATAATGTTTTGCTCATCACTGTATCACCAGTACTAGCACATTATCTGGCACATAGTTGGCACTCAATAAATATTTGAATGACTGACTAAATATTATAATAATAATAACAATAACAATGACAGCTGACACTTATTTAGTACTTACTGTGTGCCAGGTACTGTTCTAAGTATTTTACATATGTTAAATATGTTACATATATTTAATCCTCACAATAATCCTAAATATTATTATCTCCACTTTACGAATAAAGAAATTGTGACACAGAGATGTTAAATAACGTGTCCAAGGTTATATACCCATTAGTTGACAGAGTCAAGACCTAAACCCAGACAGTGAATTTCAGAGCCCACGTTCTTAATCTCTCCTCCATACTGCCTCTCCTTTAAATATGATTCAGTTCAAACATAACCTTCTGTGGAAACCTTCCCTTACCATCCAATCGGAGTTAGCTGTTTCTCTTCTGTATCCCATGACACCCCATATACACCTTCATCATAGCATTTATCACAGTGCACTGTACGACTTGGTGTCTATTTCCATCATTCCATGAGCTCCTTAAGGACAGGGACTTTGACTCAGTCTTATTTTGTGTGTGTGTCCTCAGTGCCTAGCACATAGTAAATACTCAAATAACTTTTATGGATGGATGGATGGATGGATGGATGACCTGAGCTGGAGCATGAGCATTCATTTTCAGATAATCCAGCAGGTGGCAGAAGACGACAAAAGCTGAACAGAGGATGGGCTGCCTTACCTTTCACACTGGTCACTTTCTTCATGATGGTTTCCTGATCTTGCCACAGAGTCACTGTCACTGTGGCTCCAGATACGCCATAGCCCCAGATCACTGCCCCTGCAGGCTCCTTCTGCAGCACCATGTAATCATGGATGTACGAAGCAAAGCGAAAACCAACACCTAAAAAATTTAGAAGAACATCATTGGAGAGATTCGTCACCAATTGAATCTGGTTAAACTGCAAGGAACAGACAGTCTTTATACAAGAGAATTTGAATAACCAGTCCTTTTAATCTTCTAAAACTAGATCTTGTTTCTCCTAATTAGGTAAGCAACATAACAAGAACAGTTTCCAACAATATGCATCATGGTACAAGATGACGAATAAGGAAAACTCAAAGAGCCTGGGGTAACCAATGTGCCATAAGCCTCCTCCCATTCAGAGCTCTTAACCTTCCTTTGCTTTCAGGGTTGGCCTAAGGTTTAACTCTTTCCCCCAAATCACTAAAATGCTCCTTTTTTGCACACCACAGATGGTATTTATGAGAAAAATAAGCCATTTCCTTCCCCTAACTTCCATTACCACACCTACTTCTCGTAGCTGGGAATAAAGAAGCCTGCCTCTCTCCAATACAGCCTTCTCTAATCTTTTCCCCATTCTTCATCTCCCCCTCTCTTTCCTACCAGTGTCAATTCCCCTCAAATAATTCCCCTTATTGTGGTTTTTTGAGAACCCATCGAAAATTCTAAATGAGCATTTATGAATATCTGTGACAAGTCTGCTTCTTTCTAAGGTAAATTCAGATAAACTAAGACACAAAAACTGAGGTCAGTGAGTGACAGAAGTCAAAATATCTGAACAAAGGTCTTTCGTTGCAATGTTACCCATTTCACAAGCGAAATTATTCAAAAAGAACAAGAGGAAGAACACTTGAAACTGTGGATTCTATTCTAGAGAGTCACTAACAAGACTGAATAAGAACTCACCTTAATGAGATCATTCCTATTTTTAACATCCAGCCTATCTGAAGTATTTTATTAATAACAAGCATCTATCCAAATTATCTCAGTGAGTTCCTCATCAAAACTCAACAAAGAAAAAAAAACTTAAGTTACATCCCAATTTGTCTGAACAAAACAGACAAAAATCCTTAGAAGAAAATAATTAGCAAAATTAAGATTTTTTTAAGGGTTTTAAACAAAAATTACAGGCAGGAAAGAGAATTAGAACTAACAAGGTTGACATTTTCCTCCCTGCAAGATACAAGTGATGACAGCCCCTTAGGCTATACTTAACAGGGCAGCATAGCTAATGGGGTCTCCTACACAGACCCCGGGACTTATCTGTCCTACTGCTTCAAATAACAGCCCAGTCCCTAAACATCCTCAGCTCTCTCTTATGAGTTAGTTCCATCATAAAACCTACGTGACAATCAAAGATCATCCAGAAGGCCCCCAGGGCTTGAGAGGCACAGCTACCATGAGCAAAATGCTCTAAGAAGAGACTATAACACCCCAGGATTGCATAAGCACATTGGCAGCCTGCTAGAGGGAAAAGAAGAGGCACATGTGTGGGAGGGCCTAGTCTTGGGTAGGTGCTTCATATGGAACAAAAACCAAAAACCAAAGGCCTAAGAGCTAAGCAGAGAGAGGGAGGGGGTAGGGCAATGGAGTGAAGAAAACTGCCTGCCGCTTGCATACAAGCCAGTGCAAGTGAGGGGCTCAAAGAGACCTGTACAGCCAGTTTCATAGGCTGGGGGAAATACCTTTCCAAGTCAGTCTGTTTTCAGCAACACACATTTACCAAACCTCTTTGTGCGTGGCTGTATTCTGAATTAGAGAATTTTAGCGGTGGAAAAGATCTTTTTCACACCCTGAGGTATAATCATGTTATTTGCTGATCAATAGACTGAGACCCAAGTAGATTAGGTAATTTTATTAAATAGCTTGCATATTAATTAATTAATTCAACAAATATTTATTGGCGCCTACTATGTGCCAGGTACCATTTTAAGCACTGAGGAAATAACAGTGAAAGAAAAACAAAAAGAAAAGAGACAAAAATCCTTGCCAACAGGGAGCTTACATTCTACTGGGAGGCTTACTTGTGGCAGGCACAGTGTTAAACACGTTGCAGACATTAAACTTCTTTGACTGGTCTCAAATCACACAGATAGGTTTATGACACGCCTAGAAACCACACCACCTGATTCCAAAATTATTGCAATTTCCAGTCTGTCACAGTTAGATACTGGTGGTAAATCAAAGAAAAGTCATATTCCCTGTCCTTATAAAGCTCACAGTCCAAGGTGATAAGAGTAGACAGTGGAACATTACCAAGGAATTGAGCAATGGACAACAGGAGAACAAGAAAGGAGGCGGGACTGCTCACTGTTTTTGTCAAATACAAGACTCTTAACATTTGAATATTTTTTAGGTCTTCAATTTTCCCTTCATTTGGGTGTTGGAGTAGGAAAACAGGAATTAGTGTTCTGGGGAAGTTAAAAGTAGTCATTAAAAGTAGACTGACAAAATTAGGACAGTGGTTACCTCTGATGAGGAAATGGCGGGTGCACTGGGGAGGAACATCCAGTAAAACAGGCAATGTTCTAGTTAAGTTGGGTGAAGTGCCCATGGGGTGTTTATTTGATTGTTTCATTGCTACATTTTTTTTTTTTTTTTTTGAGGAAGATCAGCCCTGAGCTAACGTCTGCTGCCAATCATCCTCTTTTTACTGAGGAAGACTGGCCCTGAGCTAACATCCGTGCCCATCTTCCTCTACTTTATATGTGGGACGCCTGCCACAGCATGGCTTGCCAAGCAGTACCATGTCGGCACCTGGGATCCAAACCGCTGAACCCCAGGCGCCGAAGCAGAACGTCCAAACTTAACTGCTGCGCCACCGGGCTGGCTCCCATAGCTACACATATTTTAGTACTTTTCAAACATTACATGATAAACATGAGCACAGGGGGGATGATCTGAAGGAAAGATCTCAGGATATGCAACAAAATAAGAAGGAAGGAAAATTTAGAGCACTAATGAATGAAAAATATAGTCAATGTCCATGAAAGCTAAGTAAGAATATGACCAAAAGTCAAAGATAAAATATTGATATTAAAGTTAGCCTTTAACAGAGAAACTAGTAAAACTATGGCCCTACTCTCTACCTTCTCCCAACCTCATATGCTTGACTCAAAGGTCACTGAGTGGGGATGAGAGTCAGGAAACGACAAGCGCTGCTAGTTTACACTTTTGTTAAACCCTGAAAAACCACTTATGGGCCGCAGCTTGTCTGAATCTGGGTACTTTTTGGGTTCACAGGTAGTGCAGCATTTTTCTGCATTTTGTCCGTTCTCCACCTCAACTTTCACTTCTTAACAGGGATGCTGGGGTCCACTACTTGAGTGGTGTGAAGGAAAAAAACAGGTCCAGCATTATCACTTTACTTTGCATTAGCAGAGAGGTTTCATGTTCCGGTTTCTCCATGGTTGTAACCCAGTGTCCAGCCTAGGGTCAAAAGAGAGGATCTGACCTGCACAATCGTCAAAATGAGTCACTCTCCTCCCCAGGGCTATCTATGCCTTTTTCCCCACCACCAGTATCTCTAAGCCACACCAGAAATCAAAGCTGAGCCTTCAATATTCTGAGCTAGTGAGGGGGTTGTATTTCTTAGCCCTAATCACCACTTAAACTAGTAAAATTTAATTCCCCCAAGGAACCCAGCCTGAAGCAAACCCTCCCCAAGGGTACCCCTGAGGGGGCAGAACTGAAATGTTTCCGATGACTCAGCCATCTGTTTCCAAATATTACCCAACTAGCTTCGCCCCTCCCCGCCGAGCTCCCCTGCAGTTATTCAGAGACCCTGGGGGCCTCGGTCTGGGCACATTTGGGCCTCGCCATGCAGGAAACCGAACTCTCCCGCTGCCCCACACGCTGCACCCTAACGGAGGAGGAAGAGAGTGAAGGAAGCGGACGACCGGAGCTCCCGCCCGGCAGACACCTGCAGCCCAGGCCCCCTCGGAGAGCCTGGCTCCGGGCCGGGGTTCCTTCCTCGACCTTGAGAGGGGGGCGCGGGAGCTCGGAGCCCGCGCAGGCCGACTGACAGGCAGGGCTCGGGCCAGGCCGCCTCACCTGCACTTATGTCGGCCCACAGGATTAACGGCAGCACCAACTCAAATACAAGCCCCAGGGGGACCATGCTGGCGAGGATCCACCGCCCCAGCGCCGAATTCCGGGCCGCGACCCAGGCGGGGGCGGGGCCTGCGCGGGGCCGGCGCGGCCGGACTCCGCCCTCCCAGGCGGCTCAGTCCGCGAAGCGGCCCGCGGCCGCCGGACGAGGCCGTTCCTCCTCGCTTCTCGGCCGCCGTAGTTGAATTTTGAAAAAAAAAACGGTTACCCAGCAACGAGAAAAACAACTGGAACCATCGGCACCAGCTCTGAGAGAACCAAGAGGTGAGGCGGCTTACCCCACTTCTTCTCCACAACCGAGGCCTCGCTTTTTCCCGTCGCCTCTCGTACTCTCTCAGGATCCCGGACACACTCCGGGAACCCTAGGGCCGACTGGGAGCCCAGGCAGCCCGTCTGCGAGCGCCTGAAAGCCCAGATCCTCGACGTCCCGCCCCGCGCCAGACCTGAGTCCCCCCTCTGACCGCCCCCCACGCCCCAGGTTGGTTCAGGGTCTCACCAGGCCTTTCACAGCCCTGGTCTGATTCGGTACCTCATCTCCTGTTCCCTCGAAAAAGAAAACCTCCAAGGATTGGGCCGCATCAAACCGTCTAGCCCCTCACCTCGACCCCTACCACGGCTCCCGGCCCTATTTGGCAGTGACCATCCTCTCGGACAACCAGGCCAGGTCCCTGAGCGTTGTTTGCATACTCAGTGGCCCAACCCCTGCTTGAGAGCTGTATTTAATCGAGCCCTTGTATTCCAAGACGGGAAACGAAGACCTGGTCAGGGCAAAACCAGAAAGTACAAGAATCCTAAAGCTTTGGAGACGGATTGCGAAATCCTGACCTTGCCCTCCCCATCCCCGCCCCTTCCAGAGCGTATGGTGCTTTGAGGAAAGACTAAGAGTGAAACTTCTTCATTCAACAAATTAGAGTAATTTCTAGAACAAGGAGTAATTTTTTTTTTAATTTTAGACCCTACACAGTGTCTTCTTGGCAATTTATCATGAATTTTTAACAATTATTCTCACTCAATTCCTGTGGGATATCAAAAATTACCCTCACCTTTTAAAGACAGAAAGAAGAGGGACAGAGAGAAAAAGTACTATTGTTGTAGTGAAAAATCTGTGATTTTTGTAAGTTTTTAAAAATGATTTGTCCTATTAAATGGGTCTGTATTTATAATATTCTAACTAATAATGGAGAATTCAGAATTCTTGGGAAGAAATGGATGGACGTGGGTTGTGTTGGGGAACAAAGAATTGACAATCAGAAAATTTGGGTCTCAGAAATAATTTGCTGTCATAGTTGTGATTATATAAGTGAAATCAGACAAATTTAAACACCGTACTCTTTAATGAATCTCTAGGTGCAATAGGCAGTTCCTTCCAAGGAGATGTCGATTCCATTCTCCAACACCCACTACCGAATTCCTCAAGGATTTGGAAATCTCCTTGAAGGGCTGACATGCGAGATTCTGAGGGAGCAACCGGACAATATACCAGCTTTTGCAGCAGCGTATTTTGAGAATCTTCTAGAGAAAAGAGAGAGTAAGCTTTTTTAAAATAGACATTTTTAAAAGAGTAAGAGACTAAGCATTTGGTTATGGTGAAACTTGCTTAAGACTACTCCTATTCCACGGAAAGCCTTTATGAGGCAGCTAGCTTCAAATGATACTTAGTGCTATTTGAAACAACATGTGCCTTTTTGACAGGTTCTCTTAAATCACATTATGTCACATTATTGAAAATTACCAGTTTATTACCCAGACCTTCTTTGTTGTATTCCTCATGGACACACTGGTGGAAGAGGACCTCATGAGATCATCCAGCCGAGCTCTTCATTTTCCAGCAGGCCATTCCTGTGTATCTCAGGCAGTTGACTGTCCGTTCTTCCTAGGAGGAGAGTTCGTGGTTTTCTTTACATTTTGATTCTTCTTACTTGAAAGCATTCTAAGTGTGTAAAAAATAATTCTGCACTCCTTAGATTAAATACATTGGTATTCGCTGGGGAACATGAAACTGTTCTGCAATAAAGGCACAGAGAAAAACTGCTTTGAAAAGTGAACTTCCACCTTGGGAAGGTAGTTTATATTCTTTCTCTGTACTCCCAAGGTGCCATCCTGCCCAGAGACTAAGATTCAAGCTAACAGTTAGTCTTTGGTTAAGAGCCAAAGCAGAGTTTCTTCACTTTCCTAAGTAAAATTTCCAAATCTCCAAGGACTATCAAGACCTGACCCAATGGCCAAAATTGGAATTATTACAGCTATAAGTATCTACTAAAATCCCATTCTTGACTAGAACAACCATTTTTTATAAGCCGTTGTCATCATTACGTTTGATTACGATATTCTAACAGAGCGGTAAAGGTGGCTAGAAATAGCCACATTCCATTTTAAATCAATTTACAAAGGGAAGAAACCTACCCCAAGGCTTGAATTGAAAGAACTCCCATATACACTGCACAGCTCCACCCCCTTGCCTTCTTTGTCCTACCCTGGTAAAGCTCAAAATCTCTGCCAATTTCCAGAATGTTGCTGGTCTTTTCTATATTCAGTCAGTGGAATATTTATTGTACAATCTGAGACTTAAGTGCCACAAAAAACCTGTTAAGAGAAATCCTTTAGGGTAAGAGATGAATTGTAATTAACATTAATTTAATTTTGTTACTATAACATTAATTTTACAAATTCATGCAATAAAAAAATCTGTAGTCATTTACTTAATTTTAGACCTCAGAAACATCCCATTACAAAAACATTTGAGTCATTGTTACTGGATCATGATAATTAAAGCAATTGGTGATTCAGATTAATGGTCTCAAAATACTAGCTCTGTAACTAAAAAAAAAATGGGTAAAACTGTTTCAAAAAGTTTTGAGCACCACACCCATTTCCGCTCATGTAAACCAAAGGTGAATTATCCAACTGATATGAGTAATACAATTTAGTCTCTCCAAAAGGGAAGAAAAAAGTCCTCTAGGACAGTCTCTCACGCAATGTGAGAATTTCCTTGCTGGCATTCTTCGTAGGTAATTACTAGTATTAATTTTGGTTTTTGTGATAGGAAATGTGTTGGTATATAATGAAAGTGGCATCTCAAATCAGTAGGGAAAAGGTGGGTTTTTTATTAAATGGTGGTGTGATAAAGATGGAAAAAGATAAAATAGGGTCTATTCCTTATATCATACACTAGGATAAGTTCCATATTGATTGGAGATTTAAATGTTTTTTAATTGAAATTACACAAATAGTAGAAAAAAACATGGATGAGTTTCTCTATAACATGAAAGAGAAAAAGAATTTGGTTAAGTTGCTATAATTATTTTAAAAGTCCAAAAAGCAATTAGGGAAAAGATTGATAAAATTGACAATATAAAAGTAAACTTCTACATGGCAAAAATCAACACGGGGAAAATAAAATGACAAATAACAAACTGAAAAAAGTATTTGCAATTTATATCACAACAGGTTAATAAATCTAATAAATAAAGAGCTTGTAAAAACAGTGAAGGAAAAACCAAATGCGGCCGGCCCCATGGCGTGGTGGTTAAGTTCTGCACATTCTGCTTCAGCGGCCGGGTTCACAGGTTCAGATCTTGGTCAGGCACAGACCTACACCACTCATCAGCCATACTGTGGCAGTGACCCACATACAAAGTAGGGAAAGAGTGACACAGATGTTAGCTCATGGCTAATCTTCCTCAGGAAAAAGACGAAGATTGGCAACAGATGTTAGCTTAGGGCTAATCTTCATCAGCAAAATAAAAAATAAAAATAACAAAACCAACAACCCTGTATAAAAAACGGGCAACAGATACCACCACCACCCTCCCCCATCAGATTGGCAAGAAGCCAAAACTTTGCCAATTTATTCTAGGCAAGGCTAGAGAGGAAATAAGCACTCGTATGTTGCTGGAGTGAGAAGAAGGGGAATTTGGCAATATCTACCAAAATTATGTATGTATTTAACCTTTCACCAGAAATTCCACTTCTTCTCTTTTCATTGCATCATTATTTGAGGAAACAAACCAAATATCCCTAAATAAACTAGAGTACATCCACATAATGGAATAATATGCAGCTGTAAAAAAAAAAAAGAATGAGGAAGATCTCTATATGATGCTATGGAGCGATCTTCAGGATGAAGTGAAAAAAGTAAGGTGGAAAAAAGTGTGTTTAGTATGCTACCAACTATCTAACAAGGGGGTGTTGATGTGAATATGTAGCTGTTCATTTATATTTTTTAAATGGAAGAGTAAATCTTTACAAAATTTACATTTACCTCTAGCGGGAGAAGGAGCAGAGTGGAGGAAACAGGGTAGAAGCTAGACTTCTCTGAATATATCCTGAATTCAAAATCATAAATGTTTAACATAGTTATAAAATGGAATTAAATTTAAAAATTGTTAAGCAATTTTTAAAATTTAGAAGGAAAGTGAAGCAAAAGAACCAGCTAGTATTGGGTGGGTAGCATAACCACACAGAAAGGAGTTATTTCAAGTGACTTTCTAACACAGTAATTTGACTGTCTATCCCTGATGGATATAGCCTAAAAGCAAAATGAAGTAAAAAAAATTCTTAAATTGTTTTCAGTAGTCATTGTTAATAATAGTATAGTATAGTTATTTTGAAATTGTTTTTTATATATTGTAGGACATAGCAAATAAGTAACTATCCTACTGTCATTAGGAATAAGATTTTTAGTGTAAGAAAAATGATATACAAGTACAAAAACGAAAGAAGTAAATAAAATCCTGTAATCCTAAATTCGAATTGAAAAATATCAGTGTGACCTCATGATATATTTTCTCTTGAAAAAATGAAAAAAATATTTTCTAGCTCTGTACATTTTTTAAAATGCCTCAAAATAATGACCAACCCAGAACCAGTGAGCACCTAAGCCCTAACCTGTGGCCTTCTGACCACCATTTCCCAGGAACCAGGGCTTCTTGGAGAACTAGCTAATTCCATGAACTGGGCAAGAAATATACAAGAGGAGCCTGAACATCTTGCCATGCCAGAAAATAAAGAAACTATCGAAGATTACTAGAGTTATTTCCAAAGGACTCAGGAGCATCTAAGTACCCGAGAAAGCTCCTCCTGGACAATTTTGGACAATTAGAGCATCAATAAGAATAATAAATGCAATGAATGAAATTCATCCAATTTGTTAAATACTCA